CATGGCTTGGATGATGCGCGGATACTTCGGCAAGGCGGCAAGGCCAAATGGCAAAGCTAAACGCTTGAGCAGTAAGTAGTTGAAGTGGTGCCGGCTTCAGTGCTTATAACGTCCTCGAGTAAGCAGACGCTCAACAGCCATGTGTCTGCATCTTGCCTTGCAGTCGCCAGTGCCGGCGCAAGCAGGGCGGGCATCGCGGCACCTGTGTGTTGCACAACACCCATCAATCCTGGTTTGTGATTGAAGAGACCTGCTTGTTTGGCTTGAGCATCTGTCTCACGATCGCTCCCTTTCTGTTCTCTTGCCCCCTCCCCGTCCCCTCCCCTACCCCACCTCCTCTTGCTCCTCCTCCAATGCGACCACGCTGTCAATCAGCGTAACTGAGTATTGCCGTGTTCGATCACAACGCTGCAGCGGCACGCCGAGGCGGGCGGCAAAGCATTAAAATTAGATGATCACTCGGGTGCCTTCTCCCTTCGCAAGGTTGCCATTGGTATAAACATGTGCTACCGGGAAAGCGAGGACATTGATGCCATGTGAACATTGAAGCCACGTCCGAAAGCCCAAACGCAAAAGTCCCAAAGTCAACAAACTCACTAAAGACAAGGGTGGGAAAGGGTTGCGAGAACGGCGGAAAGGATGAGTCCGGCGGAAAGGATGAGTCCCGGGCAAGGGCCCGGACATGAAAAGACCACCATTGGCCTGTTTCTCGAGTCCCTTGGCGACGTTTTGTACTTGGATGGGGAGGTCCCGCATCCCTCAGAAGCCTTTCTCCAAACCCGGATTGCTTCCGAAAGTGGGGTTCTTAATGAGCTTGATCTTTGGTTGGATGCCATTAACAACGAGTACCGGTCGCTGACAGAAGAAAGTAGTGCCTTGGAGCCTGCATTTCTGAGTTGACAGATACAGATTCGAGCACAGGAAAGGAGCTGTGCTGCGCGGGTCGTGTCGGTACCAGCCCTTAAGCCTCTATCTGAGTAGTGAGGCCTGCATCAGCGAACGCATACTACATTATGTTTTATGTTGCCCTAAATCATATTATATTATACCATACTATACTAGATTATATTACATTACATCATACTACATTACAACATTACATTACATTATAGTATTTTTTGCCTCCTACATGGCTGAGCGAGTCGCGAAGTAGGGAACAGACGTCTGAGTGCTACATTATAGTATAGTATATTAATTTATGCCATATTCGGTTGTGTGATCTTGACATATATATATATATATACATATATATTGAATATACTATATATTATAAACCATATGTTGCATATTCTATATTATAATTTGTATCTTATATGTTCTATACGATATATTGACTATGATAAAATATCTATATATATATATATATATGTGCATCTGTGTAATTTTGGCTCCCGCATGGCATCATCCGAAGGCTCTGCGTCTGTGTAATATATATATATATATATAATACAGATAGATATACATATACACATTGGTGCGTGCACGCCTTTAGCTATTCCTCACATCCTTGCTCAGGCTCTCGATCCTGCTGTGTCGATGGAGGAGCTCGCTTCGTGATCTGCATTTGAAGGAAGGGGCAAATCTAGAGTAAGCATACAGCTATGCGGCGATGCGTACATACATGTGCATGTGTATATACTGTGTTAAGATGTAACTGTGCGGCAACGGGCCAAGATCCTCTCACAGCAAAGCGGAGCAGCGTGTGAAGTCGGCGGCAGGTCGAGCCCAGCTGCCTGACAACAGAAGCAAACTGCAGCTCCTGTAGTACAGTTTGCAGCCAGCCTCAGGGTTCGCAGAGTGGTGGTAGGACAACGTACACCAAAGCATGCATACTGGTGCAGTGACGCGCCTTTTTTTGAAGCCGACCCCTCGAATGTACTACGATGTTGTACTGAGTTCTGAAGAGATGCCCTAACAGCATGAATTGGGGACGATGTGTCCAGCCTCATCGTTCATGAGTCATACGCTATGTCGCACTTTCCTGAGGCTCGGAAACTCATCCTGTTGAGATCAGCCATGATATGGATGAGCTCTTGCGCAAGGGCCGCGTGAGCATATGGTACATGAAAACAAGGAAGCCGGGATATCCCGCAGCTGGAAAACAAGCCTTCGGCTTGGGTTGGGGCATTGCGCGACCACGGCCTGCAGACGCAGTTGCTCGTGTGGGCTCCCAGCCAGCAATAACGAGTGGGACACGGCAACTGCTAAAAGATTGAGACCACGGCGAACGCCAAATCAGCACCCGAATGCACATTAACTTTATAAACAATTGCCTGCGTGCCCTTGCAGCAGAGTCTACTCAGGCCCACACAGTACGGGTCTCCTCCGCATGAAGCTCCATCTTTAGCACCGCAGCCACAGCATCGTCCTGATTGCTTTCGTGGCAGACGTCTTCCTCGGAGACGTTTTCTGCTCTGGCATCGATTTGCTGTGTCTTAGTTCCTGCGGGCGGGGAAGCAAAAGATCCCGCAGAGGTAATCCGGCGCCTGGCCAAAGTGTCTGTGAGCTTGCTGCGGAAGCCCAGTTCCGTGCTGAGGAGGACGATTGCTGCGTTGACGTCACAGTAGTCGTAGACACAGAGTGCCTCCACCACTTGTCGCACCTCCTTCTCCGGCATGTCTTGCTGGCTGTGAAGGAAGTTGGACAAGGTGTCGCAGAAGTCTTTGGAGGATGGTGGCTTGCCGAGATTCATGATCCAAAGCTCATCATTGCTGCCCAAAGCCTTCTTGTAGAAGAGGGCGGCCATGGCAAGTACGAGCATGAGGCCGAGCACACTCATCATCATCGCAGAGATGGCAGCGGCCAAGCTGTCGAGGACTGCAGGCCCTTCCTCCGGGTCTGGGCCGAGGCGGCCCAAGCCAATTGCCAAGAGCATCACGAGGAGCAGGTTGGTGACAGCGTCCACCAAGTTCAGGATCGGGGCCTTCCATGGCAAGTACCACACCTGCAGCTGCAGGGACAGCAGCAGGATGCCGAGCAAGCAAACAAACTGCACTGCCGGCATGTTTGGCGCTGCGACGGCGGGCATGGAAAGGAGCGGTCCCCGTGTGAGAAG